ACCATGCCGCCTCCTGAATTCGATATCGACCACTTCTTCGAAATTGGGAAAGAACCAGAACAGGGAGCAGAGGCTACCGACCAGCCCGAGGCCGAAGGTGTCGATATGGAAACTGAATGTGAACAGGAGAAGGAGGAGCAAGACGTTGACATGTCCGACCCGAAGACATCAATACTGCAAGCCATCGACGAATTCGAGAAGAAGATCGGGCAAGCAGAATTCTGCATCCACTGCATGAAGTCGGGACACACAACTCTCAATTGCGAGAAGATCCCTTCATCTTCACCCACAGTCACCTCAGTGCTGAGTGATTGGAAAAAGAGAGTGAAGGGAGAGGTTGCACCCGACGATGTACCATCCGGATATCCAGCCGAGGAGCCTAAGAAGAAGAAGCAGAGAGCATCGCCTACTCCAGATAGGAAGGTCGACAGCGAGTTCAGGCGAAAAGAAATGTTGAAAGCAAGAGTCGTGACAATGTTTGACCATGACGGGTTCACCTTGATTGAAAGTGCCGATGGAGTCGAAGGAGGGACACATTCCTACAATGGGCGGAAGCTTGCGGAAGTAGGCCCTAGGGATATGAGGGTGGTGTACGAATTTGTAGAGAAGGCATTTGTGCACTCCAGTTCCCTCAAACCAAAGGCATGTCATCAATTCTATCCCCTACCGACACGGAGGGAGAAGGGATACAAGCCGATCGACCCCATGACAATGGTCGGGAAAGTTGAGCTAGTACCGATCAACGGAGTCACTTTCGCTGCACAGAACTCCGACTACGGCAACCACAAGTATCCGACTCCAGACTGTCGAGTACCAGAATACAGCCAAGCGAGCCAGGCCCTGAGTCGTCGATTGGGAGCGAAGTTGAGGCATCGTATTGGACGCCAGTTCAGGACAGGAGGAAGACTCACACCAATCAAATGCGACGAAGGCGCATGGGTGTCATGGGAAGACCTGTTAGGTGATAACGCAGTTTGGGAAGACGGTTATCACTATGGCAATATAGACATCGTGACCAAGAAGGCGCGTTTGGAAAAGTACCTCGACCAGAACTATGAGTGTTTCCGCATAACCAAGAGGATCAGATTCCAAATGTTGGCGGTCCGCGTTCACCCTGATGAACTCAATGATCCTGATGACCCGATGGAGAAGGAATGGATTGACGAACTCAAGGGCATGGGAATCTCCAAAGGAAGACTCCACCATAGCGATGGATGGTGCTTTCCCGTGGCCGTAAGAGCAACCTCAGCACACTCATCGGACGGCGGAGGTTATGACGTTACCATCAACATCGACCACATTGGATCGAGAATGACCAACGACATGGCCCTATCCATGGTGACTGCGTTTCACGCTACCAATCTTGGAGCGCTGACTTCAATCATGCGACGGGGGCTAGTGCCAGGAGGTCTCGGTTCATCGGGAAGGGATTCTATCCACTTCACATGTTTTCCGCCATGGGCCTGGGAGCAGGGCTACAAGGGAAAACCTTGGCTGGGTCGTAAGGTCGCATTGAGTGATCGCCCAGTGGTTCTCTACATTCCGGTGTGGAAGCTGCAGGAGTACGGGCTTCTCATCTCAGCGACTGGATCTCTATTGGTTGAGGACGTCGTTCCCTTCGATGAGGTTAAAGGGGCATGGTTGCAATGCGACAATGCAGAACCCGGACAGCCTGAGGAGATCGAATGGATCAGGTTACTCAATAGAGAACCCGACCCTGGAAGCTACCTTGTTCTGGAGTCTAAATACGGAAACCCGATCATGACTCCACGCTATCAAAAGCTTGAGAGTTTAGCGGTTGAGGTCCAGGACGATACCTACTCCGAGGACGACGCCAAAATCTCAAAGCTGTTGGGCATGATCGAGGAGAGTGGTATCTACCCAGAATATGATAGCACTGAGTGGCAGGAAATCTTTGAGGAGATCGTATACCGCCGAGCAATGAAAGACTACGACTCAAGACCGTGTCCTAACTGTCTTGGCGAAGTCGATGTGCGATTGACGATATGTCCGCACTGCGTAGCGGTTTTGATCGCGAATGGGAAGCTCACGCATGTGGTACCCAAGGAGACAAGGGACCGCAATCAACGATCACCTCCGAGAGATGTACCAGCCAGTTCTTCCGGTGAAGCAACTTCTGCTGCAGGTGCAAACATCGATGAAGTCATCAAGAATGCACGCAAGACAGCCGAAGAAGTCATTGACGTCGAGGAATCCGAAGGAGAGGAAGACGAGGAAGTTCCTATCATTTTGAAGGAACGACCGGACGAAGCTGAAGGCGAACCCGAATATCGGGAGGTCCCTCAAGATGGATACGGGAATGAACTTCCACAGCCTTTCCCCTTCGCAATTGACGAATTGCCGCAAGAAGCTGCGATCCCCATCGACCACAACTTTGCAGTCGCACAGCAATTTGATCTGAGGTTGATGAAGTTGATCAAGAGCTTGGCCAACGCAACGTTCGACATCAATTGCTTTGAGAGTCGTGAAGACGTACTGCGAAAATTCGACGATGGACAGCGGCATGACACTCCATACAATAGATGGCCATTAGTACCGAATGATCCGGATACTGGGTTTCCAAGACGCCTTCAGAGAGCCGAGGTCGTAGGCATGAGCAAATGGACCAACGACACGTATGCAACAGAAGCGTGGCAGATCTATGAATTCCACGCCCACGTTATTCACCCGATGATGATCACTGCAATCCGCTGCGGGCTTAGCCACAAGTACCTCAAAGAGGTCGGCAGCACTCGGCGTAACATGAGCGATCCAAAGGCTCGAAGATCTGAGACCCAGGAAGAGATCATCGAGAAGCTGGCATTCATCTCAAATTTCATCAGACGCTTGATCAGGAAGACCTTCGGAGCGAGCCGATATAGTTACTACCAGAAACCAGATGACGAAGGTGCCGCTCCATACAAATTCATTGACATTAGCCCCGCCATTAAATCGGAGCGGAAGAATGTCACAAAGGAGATCCTCGTTGCATGCCGCTACTATGGCATAGAGGTATCCGATATCCAAGCACAGAAATTGAAGCTCTTTGAGGAGCAGATCCGAAGGGGAAACCCAAGGAACGTTGAGCTCATCAAGGACTACATTGGCTTTGTCGGCGCTGACTACATGCGACAACTCACGAATGGTTGAGCATTGGGGTCGTACCGACACGCCACTTCCGGTACTTCATGTACTGAGGGGTCTTGGGTAATTCATGATGACCGTTTTGGCATCATGGGAGTGAGATAGGATTGTGTTTCACACCGTTGGTAATCGCATGATACCATAGGTAGGTGCACGTTTTCCGTTTGTAGCTCCATTACCTGTTTGATCCAACTTTCAAGCGAATGCAAGATCGTTTGCTAATTCAGTTTTATAGGACATACTGGTTGACCTCCAATGCACTTTTGAGAACATGATTCGTTCTCCGGTTTTTACATCCACTCATCTCCCTTCCCCGTCGAAGCACGGATGTGGGGGGTGTCAATAGGGATGAGGTCCCAGTATAGTTGCTATACAGGTACATGCCATATACTTTTGGCTCAAGTGCCCAACCAGGTAAAAAGGAGCTTTAGCGCGCGAGCTTCATGTTGAACTAAGGGCTAGAACGGGGCCAGGGCACACCTTTCCATCCGTTCGCAGACAGGACGTCATTCCTTTATGTTTTAAACCTCTTTAAGCTCAAAACATAAACAGTCCAAAGTATGTTTGACGTACTCCTTTTTGCTCAGTTGAGCAGGCTCATACCATGTGCCCAAGCACTCTACCTCTCTCTCTCTCTCTCTGTGGATAAGACGGTGGTGTTTTGTGGACACCTCATGAAACTTTCGTGTGTGGGGTTTTACGAATCTTTGTTGTTGGAGTGATCATGAAAGCTAGCACCAGCTGAAGTGTCCTTCGAAAACTTCTGACCCAAAAGCTTTCCCCTGAATTCTTTCGCGGGGATAGATGTGCAAAACCACCAGTGGTAGACATAATTGCAAAGCTGACCATTGATTGACCTTTCCGGCAGGGTCACGTGCTGTGATTTGATTCGGCAGAAAGTCGGCGCGCACCTCTAACAAATCCACACCAACATTCCCAAGCACCCATCAATCCCGAGGCACATTGTCCACGCCCCAACCCTCCCCAGGAAATGACATCAATCGCATATCCACCACTGATCGCATCCCTCCTGTCGCATCAGCAGCCTCAAATCTGAGCGGCACACCTCTGGGAAAACATGAACACACAAACAAAATGGGTGCTCGGTCGCGCAAAAACTTGCTTCGCGACGACCACCAGTTATTTGCAAACATAATTTGAAGAGAATCTTTTGTGTTAGCTTCAGGGATTTTCTACAGTCTATATAGTATGTTTTGTTTTCCTTCTGTTTTTGTTTTGTTGATGTCATTCTTGAAAAATATCAACATGTTTTTTTGTCTTTCAAGACTGATTCTGCAACCTTCAAACCAAAAAACACAAGGCTTTCTTTTGAGGGATTTTTAAAGCATGAAACAAAGACATCCAATGAAGGATAAGGCTTTTTTGTTGGGGTTCGGGATTGCACCGTCTACTGTACTTGGACAACAAAGTAAGTATACATACTATTATACTATATAATATACTATATATTAATAATTGACATGGAAAAGAAGTCATCACGCAACACAACACTCAAGGAACACAAACAAATCATCTTTGAGGCTTAAAACCAGAGATTCTCGACAGAGCTTTGTCTTGTTGTTGGTTCAAGCTTGGTATCACGTATCACGTGTACATGTGCATATTAAGATCGTGGATCTTTTGTTACTGGACCCCCTCAAAGGAAAGTCGGAAGAGACAAGGACAACAATACTCTCCTGGCCCCAAAATGGCTTGAAACCGCTGCAAGTACCAGTCCTTGCATGCTTCTACCCACCCTGCGACGAACCATTCTGCCCACGCCACCCCACTGAGCCCTACCATAGCCAAAACAAAAAAGAAATATAAAGAACAGCACGTTTGTTTGTTGTTCCGAGGCTGCAAGCGCTTGCGAGAGGGCAAGCTTGTGGCAGACTGCCTTGGATCTATATGGAGAGATGGCGGCGCCAGACGCGATCAGCAAAGTTCTAAGATTTCGTTCAGCTGATTCGTATCGCACGGTCCGTATCGATTGTTTGGGCTGTGCGTGACAAGCCTTTCAGGTTTCAATGCCGTGGTCACCGCCTGTGAGAATGAGAAGAAGTGGGAACAGGCTCACTAATTGGGAAAAACAACAAGTTTGATAGCACAAGACCAGCAAGCCTTGCATAGCCTTGCGTTGCAACTTGCGATGCTGAAAGGTTCTGGCCTTGTTGGCAGATGATTCAACTGCTTCTGGAGCTCGGCTATTTGCACTTTGTGCCTTGCATGCCTTGTGTCTAATGCCTTGCATTGTTGAACACTTTTTCAAGGAATCTGTAGGGACAGTTTTGATGCTAAGTTGACGCCGAGTTCTCCGAGGAGGACTGCTAGTGTTTGAACTAGGAGCAAGGACGCTACTAGGGGCTCCTGGCATCGCTACTAGGAACAAGGACGCTACTAGGGGCTCCTGGCCTTACTACTAGTAGCAAGAAGCTACTAGAAACAAGAATTAGAATTGAATTAGAATAGGCTCCAAGGAACAGACTGCGAATGATTTGAAACTTCCCTCGACGCAGGATCTATCAAAACTTGACACGCTGGAGCTGGTGCAGATGGCTTGGCGACTTGCAAAAATGGGCCAACTTGGTATGTTCAAGCTCTCGCCGGTGGTGCTCATGCGAGCTTGGCGACGAGTTGCCCTCGTTGCTTTTGCAGGCATCAATACACATATCAGTTTGCAATATTTTGCAACCACATTGCTGAAGATGTTTGGCTCGTTCCTCAATGTTTCCAAAGTGGCGTTTCTTTGTTTGCTGATGCCAGGAGGATGCAGTCTCTCCGAGATAGCGACCTGTTTGCGCCAAGGTTGCAAAAAGTTAAGTAAGAACGGCTAGCGAAAGTGCTTTCGCACCAATGGTCAGAGGTTCTCCTGAGGTCAACACTGATTTTGGACTGGCTGTTTGGTGTTTGAGCGTATGACGTGTAGACAGAGAGGAATCCTTCCGGGCCATAAGAAGTTCCCTTCCTTTGCCAGATGGTCAATGGCAGCACTGGGTGTCCAAGATGATGAGTTCTTTGTCAATGCTATCTTGGAGTTGCAGAAGAGGTGGGGATCTCAGCAATGCACAGTGCTGCACTTACTTGGTCGAAAGCCATTCCTCCGAATTCCTCCTGCTTAGCTTGCAAAGAGAAACTGACGCATGACAAATGACAATGATTTCTAGTCTCCAGGCTACCAGATTAGTCTTCCAGCTGCAGTTGCAATGAGGCTTGCAGACACAGAGCACAAGCTGCTGAACTGCCGTGCCTTAGGAAATTTGCTTTGGGCATTGGCGGTGGCAGGGTGCCGCGCCGAACGGATGCCTGTAGACAAGCAACAGCTCGTGTATGGGACATTGCAGGACGAAGTTTTGCAACGAGCAGAAACCGCAACAGAGTCACCTGGTGTCTTGCGAGAAACTTTGCTAGAGATGCTTTGGGCATCAACTTTTGGCAAGCAGCTCTCTACCTTCACATTGGAACGTGTGAAGGATTTGGTCATGCAAATTACAAGCAGCATAGGAAGGCGCAAAGACAAAGACGTCGACTGGAATCTTTGGGAGAGGTCCACCAGTTTCTTTGGACCAGAAGCCGATACACAAAGTTTGCCTCGTTGCGTGCAGATCATGGAAGACCGACTTGTGGTGCACAAACCAGCTGGATGGCAGGCGCAAAGTGAAGACGAACAATCGCTTGCTTGAGTTTGAGTGGGAATTGGAACAAGGGAATGGTGATTCGCGAGTTCGTGGTTACTTGTGTTTTTGAATTTTTGCACTTGAGCAGTAACGGTATCGTGTCTCAAAGGGTTCTTTTCTTAAAACAATGTGTGTTTTTCCATGTTATGATCATCTTTGTTCTATAAGCTTGCCTTCCAGGGGTTGACTTAGTGTAGAGGGCAACGATGGAGGTGGACACTCACCCTCAGTCTTTGCGGGCAGCCTCTCGAGCTCAAAGGTAAGGGCGCCCATACAGGTCCCTTTGATGGGGCTTATTTAAGGGGCCCTTACCTTCTTTCTTGATGTTTCTTTTTAAGCCATCGCTATTAGGTTGGAGGCCATCGCTATTAGGTAGCCCTTTCGACCTGAAAGCTTGCTTTGCCCTTGCTTTTCCCTTGTGTGCTGAGTCCGTGCTTACGTTCTCCCAGCGGATCTGATGAAATCTGTGTTCGGCCTTGTGGCGGAAGGCTCTTTGTGTGCTTGCCTTTCTAACGACATTTGGTAAAGGAAACTGTCAAAAGAGACCCATCATTCGTATTTGGAGACTGAAAGTACAGAAAAAATATTATTCAGTATCAGAATTGCATGTTTACCTAGGACCGCGCAGTGCATAAATAAAGCGCAACATACTTACTGCATAAAGTACGATCATTGCGTAGAGTAGGAAAAGCTAGGTGCTTGGGAAGCGAATAAACTCTTGCAACGGATGGGATCTTCAAATAATGATGTTCGCAACAAAATGATTTATATACTATAAACAACATATTCACAACATATATATTTATGTGTGCATTGGCCGTGCAACCATAGATCCGTTGATACAACGTGCCTTGAAGACTCCCAGTTTGTGTGCGATTCTTGCTCATCACAGATCAAGGCTAGTATCTAGCCATATCCAACCTTTATTCCAACAACCCCACCAACGCCGCCCACCAAGAACCAACATTTTCCATAGGCTCTCCATAGGTTCTGCGTAAGGCAACGGTGCTGGTGCTGTCTAGTAACGCAGAAAGTGGCAGCGATACTGGAATAGCAAAAAAAGGTACTAAGAAGCTACTAGGGGCTCCTGGCATCGCTACTAGGAGCAAGAACGCTACTAGGAACAAGAAGCCTAATTCTGATGTTTCCTCGAACCAAACTCCACGATCATCTGAAGGACAGAGGATCGTTTGCGTTTAGGCTGCATGTCACCGTGGGCAACTTTCAACAGCACTTCAATCTTTGGGTTCCCCTCAGGCACTCTAGAACTGGACATATTTGCTGTAGGCTCGTGCTGTGGAACGGTAGGCATACCGTAGGTTTCTGCTTAGGTGCACATTAAGGATAACACCCTCACACCTTAAACACATCTTTGCTCAGGTGAAGAAAACCATGTAAGAAATATGTCGCAGCGAATTCAGTTCAAGGGTTTGTGTTGTTTTCTTGGCACAAATTTGTTTAAGCCAAGAGGTTCGAAACACGAAGGGAGCAAGGAGTAGACGCAGAACAGTAGACAACAGATTGTCAAGATCAGATTTTTGCATCACTTGCTTGGTAAGGTTTTCCAAACAACAATCACTTGCGACTGAGGATGGCAGAATTAAAGGCACATAATTCGGATAATTTACGAGCCAAAGAACTGTTTGAGTGGGGTGTACTGTTTAGCGCCCGCGTTAGTTTGTGTCAGGAATGGTAATTGGCGACCGAGCAAACTTTTCCTGCAAAAACCAATGGTATTTGTCGTGTTCTTTGCACAGTTGGGGGATATTTTTGTGGATGTGTGTTAGTTCCAAGGACAAGGATATTATATACACGCTACAACGATGTACTGTGATTTCCACGCAAATAGCAATTCCTCAAAATTGGTGTGCGTTACGAAACTCAACTTAACTCAAGTGAGAAATTGATCTGAACTTATTCTCAAGTAGTGGCGCGCCAGGAGGATTAGCACATGTATGCAGATAAGTATGCACGCAGATAAGTTGGTTTCTGTTGCTGATTTACTGAAACTCAATCGGTGATATACAATTTTGCTCTAGAAACTGAAAGAGAAAGACACTAGTGCCTAGTAAATTACATGGTTGAATGGCCCCATAACTAAACACGAATCAGTGGTGTGTCTCCCACGTAGCTTTGGGCTCGAACGGGTCTATGGTTTGCACTGCCTGCAAAAAGTGGAATCTTTTGGCAGGGAAGTGCTCGGTTTGCACCTCAGCGGATCGCCTTTGGGCTATTGCAACCAGCCCACGGTTGCCTCCGACTCGAGAGGCCGAAGCAAAAGTCACCAAGGTATTAGACGGGGCTTTTTACTCCATTGCCCGGCTGATCCCGGAGGAAGAGGACAGTCCAGAAAAGGGAGTGGCAGCTCCCAGCCGGCCTGAGGAGAAAGAGAAGAGGAAGAAGGGAGAGGACTCTCCCAAGGCATCCGTGGGCGATAAGAAGGAGGAGAACAGCGAGGTTGCCGAGGAGAAGAACAAAGAGGAGAAGAAGAAGAAGGAAGCCGGAAGCCCAAGGCCAGAGGTTCGCGTGAGGGAGGAGAAGAAGACAAGAGATAAGCCTGAGGAGGACGAGAAGAAGGCGGTGAAGCTCAAGGAAGTTCAGCAGAGTGAGGAGAAAAAGGTATTGCCCAGGAGAAAAGACGAGGAGAGAACAGCAAGGGAGAGATCAAGGACTCCCAAGCATCAGAGAGAGAAGGAGAAGAGAAAGACCAAGAAGAAGGACAGCAACTCAAGGTCAGTTAGTGGATCAGTAGTGAGGAGGAAGAAAAGGGAGGATCACATCTCCCATCGATCAGGCAGAAGGCGAGACCCAGCAGCGGTATTGAGAGGGTGGACTATTTGCGGCCTAGACCTAGTCGCCGTGAGCCCAGGTCTCCACTCCCGATCATCCGCCCCCAAAGGCGCCGCCAGTTACGTCTGGAGGAGGCCGAGGAGGTCCGCAAGGAAAGGGTTGGCGAGGTCCAGTACCTTACTCGTATCATCCAAGGTGGACAGAAAGCACCAACAAAGGAGTCACAAAGAGAGCAAAGCAGGAGCTATACGAGAGGAAGCAGTACAGGGATCGCTGGTAAAGGGGAGCAATGGCTCCCAAGATGAGAAGACCGGCGTCGGCTCCTGCCAGGGTAAGACCAATGAGGAGGCCTGCCCGGGCAGAAGCTGAAGTTGAACGTGAAGAGGAGAAACCACCGACAGAAGAATACAACAGTTTGGCATCTTTGACACTAGAGAAGGTCAGGAGTTTGGACATTGTGGAGTTGGGGGAGACTTCATACTACGGCGGTCACGCCAAAGTTTGTGGGCACCTTCGCAGTCTGATGCCCGCAGATGAGGAGATTGAGTTTGAGCTGACTGGGACAATGACGGACCGTGTCTTGGAGCGCTTTGGAGGAGGCGGTTCGAGGATGGTCAAAGTTCATGTCTGCCCGCCAGGATGCCCCGAGCTGACAACTGGTGACACCTACATCCACAGTCGAGGCTACTGGGATTGCAGTGTGGCGCCAAAGCCCTGGCACACAAATTTGGTGCCAGCCAAGGCTGGAGGTGAGGCGGAGGTCGATGAGTTAGCTGGATTGCGAGAGCTGGCCATGGAGCGAGGAAAAGGGAGGGGAGGCGAGAAACCTCCCAGAGCAGAAGAGAAGGAGGACAAGGGGGATTCTCCCGCAGGTGGCCCAAAGAAGAAAGACAAAAAGAAGAGAAAGAAAAAAGAGAGAGCAGCTGAGAAGGCCTATGACGAGATGTTGGAGAAGAAGGAGGAGACGGAAGAGCTGGAACGAGGACAGAAGACCGCAAGGGCATTGTTCAGTCACACGTGCCTAGATCCTAACGTACCCAGGCGGAAACGCTTGATGAAGAGGGCACATAGGGTCAGCAAGAAGAAGGACAAGAAGCGGAAGCGGTCAGATTCCAGTGAGTCAGGGTCCTCATCCTCCACTACGTCGGAAGGCAAGGATGAGTCTGAGGAGGAAGGACCCCTCTTCGAAGAAACAAGGCGGCTTCGTCGACTGAGTGAGAGATGCCCGGGCGCATTGACAGCTCAGGCCATCGACAATGTCCGGGAACATCTGTTGTCGTCGAGGGGCGAGCTCCACAGTCTCTCAAGGGAGCAACTCAGTCCCTTGTTCAGCATGTACGCTCACCAGCACCTACAGGCTTTAGCGAGTCCGGTGATGTGGCAGGAGTTGCTGACGGTTGCTCAGGTCACCGATTTGCTGCTAAGGAGGAAAGTGGCCACTGCGATGGACACGCTTGTCCAACGCGCAAAGTCGCTAGAGGCCACCTTACGAGGTGGCCATTACTCAGTTTCAAGGCAGCTGGAGTTGGTCAATGCAGAGCAAATCAGGATCTCGGAGCCCGCTGAGCAGGTTGAGGCGGCTAGGACGGCTCGTGACGAGTTCCGAAATCGCTCGATAAGCAATAGGCCGCACGGTATGAGCTCCCGCGGAGAAGGTGAATCGCATCCCAAAGGCCGAGGAAAACCTGTCCCTACCTCAGAGCCCTCTTACAAGCAGAAAGGAGGAGAAAAAGGAAAAGGAAAAGAGAAGGGCAAATGGGGAAAGAAACAGAAAGACGATCAGTGAAGAGGGAGGCTGAGGTAAAGGGGACAGAAAGGGGTGCTAAGGGATGCGAAGAGAAGAGAGTGCTTGAGGAAGTGTCAGAGAGGAGCCAAAAGGTTTGCAGGAGGCCAGAAGAAGAAGAGAAAGAAGTTGAGAGGGCAATCGAAGAGATGCTGAACGAATGTCAAAGAGAGGCTGAGGAAAGCAGGAGAAGAGCAGAGGCTATAACCCTGGGGGTGTGTCTGGAAGGCAGAAAAGGTCACTGGACATGCCGGGCCGGGGAAGGGAGGATGGAGGTCCCTCCCAGGCAGAGAGAGGGAGTAAGCAATCCGCAGGCTTGGGCCGTGGACAGCGCCGTCTTTCTGCTGGAGGCGATCTTCATAGCTGTACAGGGGAGAGAGAGGAGCTCTCCCAGTTTGCA